CCGGCTCCGAACACGACCTGAGACGTTTAAGTGAAAAGTTTAAAGTTTGTGTTTTTTCTCTATTCATGCTTAGTCTGTTGGCCTGAATCCAATTTGAGATGCAGGCTTGTGACTCAGATATGCGGTGATGCAAAGCATCGGCATCTGTTGAGGAGACCATTACGGTTGTATCATCAGCAAAAAGGATGAGGTCGGAATCATGGGGAATGTTACTGGGTAGGTCGTTGATAAATATCAAAAACAGGAGTGGCCCCAATACTGAGCCCTGAGGTACACCAAACCTAAGTGGAAGACGACCGGACTCTAGACCGTCAAGGGAAACATACTGCGATCTGTTCGTCAAATAAGATTCGAGAAGATTTATGCTGCTGATGTCCATATTGAAGGCACTAAATTTACGAATTAGTAAGTCATGAGAGACGCAGTCGAACGCCTTTGTTAAATCATAAAAAGCAGCTCCCGAATAATTATTGGCTTCGAAGCCATTCTGAACAAATTGTACCAAAGTGCGGATGGCGTCCGATGTCGACCTATTTCTTCTAAAGCCAAACTGTCCGGAAAACAATAGGCTATTAGAATTGAGGTGAGTTGCCAGTTGATTGTTTAAAATTATTTCAAAGATTTTCCCGAAAATTGGCAGAATGGATATTGGTCTGTAATTGCAGGGGTCGTGTAGCGGGCCTTTTTTGTGAATAGGAATAACCTTTGCCACTTTCAGGCAGTCCGGAAAAATCGAGTTCAATAAGCACTGGTTTATTAGTTTACATAATGGATAAACAATTATATTTGAGACTGTTTTTATTAACCTACTGTTTAATTGATGCACATCCCTGGACGTCGAATTTTTTAATTTTGAAATTATGTCACGTAGTTCGTTATAAGATATCGGTTTAAATTCGAAAAGTTTATTATTATGATCATTGACCAACGGACCCGAAGAGACATTATGATTGTTTAGTGTAGGAAGGTTAATATCATTAAGAACACTTTCAGCCACATTAACAAAGTACGCGTTTAGGTCTGAGGCCGTGAGTTTGTCGGACGAACGTTTACAAATTGAAGGATTGGTGTTCCGAATAACTTCCCAAATAGCACGCTGTTTGTTTCCTGAGTTTTCAATGTGTTGACTGTTGGCTCTTAGAGTCAGTAATAAGTTTCCGGTAAAAGTCTTTATAGTACCTGACCTGAGCACTCGACACTACCGTTGTCTGTTGATATCGACCAGCAAGTGAAGTACATTCCTAGCAGACTTAATTTCGTTGTTGAACCAGGATATTTTCGGTCTATTATCCTTAAGATGGTCAACTACTCTAAATTTCTCCCTGAAGCAGAGATGAAAAGAATCTACAATCACGTCAATAACTAATGAAAATTTGTCGATTACATGTAAATTAGCGTCACTGACAAAGCTAAAATCAGTTGACTCGAGAAGGTTATAAAAATGGAAGAGACCCTCGTCTGTGATGGGTCTACAAATGATACGGTTGTTTATTACTGGAGAACTACCCAACCAGTCACCTTGAAAGGAAACGGCTAGGTGATCTGAAATTGACGGATCGATAACATTGACCAAAAACAGAGTTGGATCAAGGTTGGTAAATATGTTGTCTAGACATGAAGTTTCACGGGTACAATCATTAACACATTTGTGCAGACCATAAGATTCGCATAGGTTGCACAAACTCTGAGCCTCTCTACTATCTAGCTCAAAGCGTACATTAAAGTCACCAGTAATTATAATAATGCGTGTGTATGAAAGCTTTGACAGCGTATCGTTCATTTTGCTTAGAAACATCTGAAAATCGCCGAGCGGTGATCTATAGACAGTTAAGAGTTGTACCGCCTGATAATCGACGCCTGCAATCTCAATATTTATTTCGTTGGAAAGATTAACTAAATCAAAGATACGTAGACGATATAATAGTAGTTTGGAATGGCAATGATAGACATGAAATAATGAATTTTCTCAATTACTTGAACGAACTTCATCATAACATCAAATTTACGATGGAAATGGAAAAAGACAATCAATTAAATTTTCTAGATTTGACATTACACAAAACAAATAATCACATTGAATTCACTATCTACAGAAAACCCCCACACAGACAGATGTTATCATACCATACGATTCCTTTCACCATCTCAACCATAAAGCTTCGACGATTAGAGCATATTTACAGCGCATGAATACAACCCCAATGCAATCGTTAAATAGAAATAATAATAGGAATGAGAAAATATACAGATCTATAAAATTTTGCGGCCCTGTTTCATACAACATTAAACGAATCTTTAATAAATGTAACATACAGATTTCCTTCAGAAATAGCAATACCACAAAACATATGCTATTTAACGCAAAAGATAAGACAAACAAATTACAAAAAAGTGGAGTATATAAATTAAAATGTAATGACTGTAATCCTTCCTACATAGGTCAAACAGGGAGAACACTAGAACAACGCATCAAGGAGCACATAGCACAAACAGAAATAAGAGATGGTGAAAGGAAACTTAAATCGAATTTTGGTAGACATTTGAAAGAAAATAACCATGCTTTTAACCAACTAGAGGATGCAGAACTAATAATTCAATTAAACAAAGGAACAAAGTTGGAACTTCATGAACAGTATGAAATAGATAGATTAAGAAAGACTAAGCCAGACATAATATGTTTGAATGATCAGACACAATTGAACAAGATACCACTTTACACCTTCCTCAAATACCCTTTCAAAAAACCCCCATGATGCCGAGGGTTTCTTCATCTTGTCCGTGTGGAGTCTCCGCACTTCGTGGGGTCCCAACGGCTACTCTCCCCCTATCCTACCTAATCCCCCCTTTCCCCTCCTCCCACCTTTATTTCTTCTTTTGCCCCCTTTTTCCTCTATAGTTCATTTGTTTATGGAATGTTAATGACAACTTCTTCAAAATTCATATTTAAACTTAAGAGTTTGACCATCCTCGACACGCATGCGTACCATATAGTTAATACTGCGCAAGACCACTAACGAACACCAAGCACGCCTCTTCCCAAATTTGTTCGCTCTCGAGTAAGACTAAATAATTATTGATAAAATTATTAATCCAAACCATCATTTGTTGATATTTAAAACGATTACTACAGTAAGCATATTGATTGTACCGCACATGGATAGAGTGACTTATATTATATGTTGACATAACCAAAAAGGACGAAGTAAGTTAGACACATGTTTTTTAATAATATTTAAGTTTGTTACACTTTGTTTCATTTAATTTATATTCAGTTTGTTAATCTTAATGTTAATTTCAAAAATTCTACTCACATTAGTAATATTTACAATTGTAACAGCATAAAATGATTTCTGTACCTTTATGTTTAATTTTGTAGAGCCTCCGACGATGGCGTAGATCGCCGAAACGCGTCAGGCAGAGTTTTAAATTATTTATCAATAAAAGTATAAAAACATACATGACTTTTTCATATTTATACATATTGATAACAAGGATCCACAAAATGAATGAATTATGATGTTTATGGTACAAAAAGGAAGTGGATGATGTTTCAGATTTTATCTACTTCATACCACATTTTCATGTTTTTGACATTCGGTATTAAATTATCGATAAAAAACTTGATTTGAAATTGAAAAAGAATTAAAACAAAGTTTTCAATTCTATAAAATCAATCATAATCGACGCAATATCCAATTCCAATAATGGCCCATAAACTTTTCTAAATAAAGATTGACATTACAGTGTTTCGGGGAATAAACCGAATGGAGAATTGTCGCGAAATTCAAACTGTTTGATTTGTACAGTTTGAGCTAACTCTCGGTTGACATTCCACTCGGTATCCATAAACTCAGCGTTTAGACGTCAATTGTTGCGGCGGTAACGCCGCTTGATTAGCAGGATTAACGCGTCCAGACCAGGACAGCAGATAGATAAGATAGCAACGTAAACTACTCTGGGAAATTGTGCACTCGATACACTGAACTTTGTAACCATATATTAATTTCCTGATACAAACAGTATTAGTTAACATACAATGTTTTACTTTTGCCAACAATCAATAACAGAATTTCAGAAACTCGTTTTAGTTAACCTAAATGGTGTTGAAATGTTTAGTCCCATAAGTCTTGCGGATTTCTCAAGGTCGTTTCTTGACGTGGACTCGCTTGGATCTTAGTTGAAATCCTACATCTCCTCTCCCAGTAGACGAAAACAAAGTGCTACAGGCAAAATTCACCCTTGGAATTTTAATCAAGTTGTTTGTTATCCACCAAGCCCAGAGAAGCATTGAATATCCAACGTCCGTTTTCTTTTCCCTAACGAAAATACAATCCCGCCGGGATTAATCTGAAAATTTCCGTGCAAAGAGTCAGTTTTAGTTGGTAGCAAATCGAATCTACGCCCATATTTCACTTGCGGTATGGGAACCTCTCTCACTTCCGATTCGATAATTTAATAACTCCAACTCTCTACGCGAGCCATAGATCAAAACGCGCGCAAACGATCGGAGAGGATTCAATGATCAACTTCCGGCTCGACGATTACGTTCACGTCCGATGGATTTGTCGGAGTCTGACGCGTTCAGGAATTGAGGAGAAAGGGGTGAAGTTAAGTTCAAACTTACAGTAAGCTACTTTCCAGATGGGATGGAAAAACACAAGTTTTTGTTTTCTTTAGAAAAGATTTTAGTGAAGGCTTCGATCTAAATTAGTTTAGAAAGAATTATTGTTTGTTGAAACATGTTGGTTCCTCTTCTTTAAGTCAACAAGGCAATTATTCATAACTCCCCACTAATGACACTTTACGTGAAACGCGACGCAGTGTGCATAGCAATTATTCTCTTGGAACCGAGGGCAGCTTTTAGAAAGCTGAAAAGGGTCTTTGTACGAACGAAATGGTCCCATCTACATCATCACAATTGCGCCCCTTTGTAATATATTTTTTAGAAGTACTGTGTACATATGACAATTCATTTTAGAAAATTAATGATGTTCACTCACCATAAACGTCCAAACATCCTTGTTGTATCTTAATGTTATTCGTGTTGATTTGACACATGTAACATCCCCGGTCGGATTCTTTGACATGTTTGATCTTGAGTTGCCACGTTTGCATGTTATCGTGGCTAATACTAACTCGAGCGTTGTGGGTGACGACTTTTGTTTGTAGACTGAGCACGGTTTGGTCTTCGGATCGAACCCAAGCTACCTATAAATAAGTAAAATATAAAGGAATAAAATAAAATACATTTTACCTTTTCTCCCCTTTTTTATTATGGAAAAAGGGAAAAAAATATTTGTATGCAAACAAAGGAATTTTACCTTATATCGGCCTAAATTATTCACCATACAAGATAAAGTAGCTTCTTTTCCGATCGGTACGGTGATGTTTTCCATTGGGAGTAAAAAATCGGGATCGTTTAAACCATATCGACCATCGTCTATAACAAAATAATGAAATTATTATATTAATTTAAATTATTACCCGACTTATTCATATATATTCATATTCAGATATTTATTCATACCCGATTAATACAAAAAACAGGGTTTGGTTCAAAAAATCATAACAACCAAATTTACAAAAATTAACAAATTATTTAATGTGTACTAAAATTAGATTAAATTCTCTTTCAAATGCTTTTTATTGCATTTTGATATCTCACTTGGCTTCTGAGATACGATTTTTTTAATTTCCGACTATTTGAAACATATCTGATTAACACAAAAAACAGGGTTGGGTTCAAAAAATCATAACAACCAAATTTACTAAAAATTAACAAATTATTTAATGTGTACAAAAATTAGATTAAATTCTCTTTTAAATGCTTTTTATTGCATTTTGATATCTCACTTGGTTTCTAAGATACGATTTTTAATTTCCGTATAATTGAATTCATACCCGATTAACGCTAAAGCAGGGTTTGATTGAAAAAATCATAATAACAAAATTTATAAAAATTAATAAATTATCTAATGTGTACTAAAATTAGATTAAATTCTTTTTCAAAAGCTTTTTATTGCATTTTGATATCTCACTTGGTTTTTGAGATAAGATTTTTTTAATTTCCGTCTATTTGAAACATATCCGATTAATACAAAAACAGGGTTAGGTTTATAGAATCATAAAAAAATTTACAAAAATTAACAAATTATTTAATGTGTACTAAAATTAGACTAAATTCTCTTTCAAACGGTAATTATTTCGTTATGATATCTCATAGCCATAATCTTGGTTTCTGAGATACGAATTTTTTAATTTCCATATAATTAGTAGAAAGACCGTAATCTTTCTGCTCGGGAAAGTCTTTGCTGCAATCTTGATTCTTAAATCAAGTTTCGTGCTAATTTATGTAAGAGATGGAGCGAGTGGTGGGATGATTGGGTGCAGTCGGAGCAGGAGTATACTGCCAGACACCTCGAAATAAGCAAGCTTACAGCCTGAGTACGTACTGTACTGTATTCCAGGCGGAAGTATTTTCTATTGACATGGGTGTTAAAATCCTTCTTGAGTGAGGGGTGAAGAACATGACAGTATGACTTTTCTCAGACAGTCAAGCCGCTCTCCAGGCGCTACAAACCGTGAAAACGGGGTCGGCTCTGGTTAATGATTGCAAGAGAACATTAAACACACTGAGTTGTGATAACAGAGTTTCTCTGATCTGGGTCTCGGATCACTCTGGGGTTGCTGGTAGATGAGCTAGCACGAGAGGGCAGCGCTAAAGCGTTTGTGGGGCCGGAACCAGCAGTTTAACATTTATTTAAAAATTTTTTTTAAAACACACAACTTTTATATTTCGTGAAAAACGAAGATTTAAGTTTTAATTTGGTGTAAGATTTATTTCTTAACTTCCATAAATGTGACCTAAACGAATTTTTGAAATTCTTCATTGTTCTTTGTATTAACCTATTTAGTCCCACTGGTGTGTACACGCACTAGCGTTTTTAAAATTATTTTACAGCCATACATTACCAGATTTCAAGGTACTAGCTTGCATCAATTCTTTTCTATTGAACATTTCTGTTCAAAATATACAATAGAAATAAAACTATTTTTAGTGCATAAAATTCTTTAAAATTTTGACATTTACTAATTTTTAGTGCAGATTTTCCTCATACAGTGCTAGCGTAAAGTAACCCCCCTGTTTAACTTCCGAACAAATTGAGATATCAATATGAACAAAAAAACGTCAGTTTCTATATTTTATCAGCACAAATATTTTCTTATGGAAAATTTTGCCATCACTTTTAGTTTTTCCGGAAAATAGATCAACTTTGTTTTTTTAAATGGAACACCCAGTATATTATGGTATCTTCCGAAAGATGAAAACAATACGAATCCAACGGTACCTCACAATCAAATATCGGTTTATTAGTTTTTCGCATAAAAATTAAACAAAATGCGGAATTTTGCCGGAAAAACCAACGTATCTTCGTCGACTACCTGTCGAAATGCAATCGGCCAGGTAAATGGTGGACGGTCGGTTAACGGTCGGTATACGCTCGAGCTAAGACGGATTTAAAATTGCAAGTTCAATTACTTATTTTTTTTAGAAATGAAATAAAAGTTGTTTGGAAGTATATTAAATTTATGAATTAATCATATTTTATCAAAAAATATTTATAAAGAAAAAAAGTCAATATAAGAAATGAAATTTTCTTATTAAAGATTTTGCTAGTATAGGTAACGGTTGAAAAATTTGCTTAGTGTTGTTATTGAATAATAAAAGAATTTTTTATTTATTAAGAATCAAATATTAAGTAAATTGTTCGATATGATTACCTTGAACTTCTAGGCAGTGGTACCATCTTTGTAGTGTTTCCTCTCTCACACGGCTTAACATGTGATCAATATTTTGGCAGACGTCAATAATTTTTTGTTTTAAATCCTCAATACT